CTTATGTTCCTTGTAGGCATGTAGTAATTGGCTGTAATAGAGAGCGAAGGAAATTGCTTCACTGAAATATTACTCTGCATAAATGGAATATAAATGACATGAAAGCGACCGTACCGTATTATCACTGTGTATAAATGGCAGGACAATTTCAAAAGATCACATCACTGATAATCTTCAGGCAATTTTGCCGCTATTCTAATTAATTATAATTTTCTCATTTAACGTCATCTCTAAAACCAAGGCCACCGGCCGTAACCATTTTCTGTCCGTGTGTCTCACCCGTTCGCGTTTCACTCTTAGGGGAAAATAAAAGGAAAAAACCAAGCCGGCCACTATTCCCTTTGAGTCTAAAAACCCACGCTAGTTATATTTACCTACACGCTATCGGTGAAATTTATCCAATGTGGATATTAAAGCGTAACGCGGACGACGGGTCAAGCCGAGGGAATTAATTATTTCTATCCAATCGATCGATATTAGAACAGAAAATGTTTGTTCATCAGTATAAGGGCTTCCCACTTTCCGCAATTTGTATTGAGCGAGATTTTATTTGTGAAGTCTTTGATTTAGCGCAGGGACAGCTCCTGAAATATGTAAACACCTGCAAACGACGGAGAATCTCTGAGAGTCTAACATTACCAATTTTAGATAGAGATTTATCACCTGCCCTTGTAGTCGTTTGGGATAATTGAATGAATGTGTGGACGTTAAGTAGGCGAAGGATGAATTATTAATGTCTATCGATCTCCCGAATCATTCAGTACATAAATCTCTAATCATTTACAAAAACGAGAAATAACCAGTATCACATTATCAGAAAAGAGGCGACAGACAGATAGATTGGGTCGTTCCATGCGCAATTCAACTGTCTCCCTACGTAGGCTAAGCATTTTCCGATATTTCCAGTAAATTTGCTCGGTTGCGTCAATCAAGCATCTCTCGGCACACCGGAGTAAATTAGCAACGAAAGTGACATTCTACTTTGTCAATGGACTGCTACTCATCGGTAATTGGTTGACGCGGGTGACGTCGACTTGTGTGGAGGATGCGATTGGTTCGTGCTGCCCGAACGTGGTCGAAACACGACACATAATTACGCTGGAGCACATGTGGGTATTCTGGCGTCGACTTCCCATTTTGTAAACCACGGCCCACGAACACGGCGATAATAATAACACTGCTGCCACGGAGAATGTTCACCAGTTTTTGTCTGACGGACTGACGTGTGCTAGAGCTTGGAGTCTCCACTATTTTATAGCTCTATATAAAATTCACCTTATCACGGTGGCAGTGGATGTATACAGAGAGAAAGCTAAAAAAATCAGGTATGTGATTTTCCCCAGCGGGGGCATTACCGCTTTCACTGCTAGAAAAACAATCGCCTCCTGCTGGTCTGTTTGACGACAAGCAAATGAATTATCAGGTATTATCAGCATGGATTGGTAGGGGCAACATACTGCGGGTTGAATAAGGAGAGCTGCAGCAGCATTCTGTATGGGGCGATCTATTTATTACAGGAGAGAATCTATTTTTTACCTGGAGTCGACGTGTTGAAAACGATCAGCTGTTCACGCTGTCGGTATTAGTTCGGCCACCGCATAGTCCTTCCAGCTGTCGGGTTACTGTTCAAACAAGGCGTGGGTTTGATCGGCCTGATTCCAAGTGTTTGGTTCAGGCTGAATATTTAAAGTACATTCAGCTGAAACACGTAAGTCTTATCGTTGCTTTTATGGGAAGTGATTGGGTTGTGTGTCTTTTATTATAACTCGCCAGCGACCCCTACTCCAGGTAGCCTTAGTGTGCTCTGCCTGAGATATAGAATTGTTACATCGGGTTTCCTTTGAAAATAGTTTTTTCTGGTACTAATAGCGATTCGAGGCGATGCCAGTGGGTATGTATATGATGGGATAAACCCTGGCCTGACCCCTTCCCCCTGGCTCATGGAAGGACAAGAAGGTTTTTGATGGTATGGCCACTTTGATCGGCATCTCCGCCTCAGAGATAATAATTCATATTCGCATTTACACTAAGGCTATAGCTTTTAAATTAATATAACTTCTTTTACCCATCCCAGCGCGTTGTCCGAGGCAGGTTAAGTAGGATAATTCAGGGAGTTTATGATCGAGACATTGTTTTATATTGCCGGCGTGCGTCTGAGTTGTGAATGATAATGAATCGTTTACAGGATGAAGGTAGAAATCGGCTATGCTGCAGGCACGATAGGCAACCTCATCATGCAAATACAGAGCAGCTTTAGTTGTCATTCTAATGCTATCTTTATCATCGTGAGTGATGTTAGTGATAAGCATTCATTGCTACTGATAGAGTGTAAAACGCCGGCTGTCAGAGGCAAGTCTTGAACCTTGTAGCCACTTTTCCTCCCTCTCTCTCTCTCTCTCTCTCTCTCTCTCTCTCTCACACACACACACACACACACACACAAACACACACACACGCACGTGCACGCGCGCGAATTCTCTCCCTCCCACTCCCCTGTCTCTTCCACTTTTCTCCCTATTTTCCTTCTCGTCGTTAATGATGTAACTGTCATCTACAGGGTTACTTAACTATGAAATGAATCTACCAGTGTCAGAAATAGTAGTAAGGTTAATACTGATATACACAATAAACTGGCATAATAGATTCTCGTTAGTCGCCAGCATTAGTGCACTATGTCGATGCATTTATTTTTATGTATGCTATTAGATACATACACAATTATATGCCCATGCATATTATCTAGAGCGCCTCAGCATGAACGATTGATGTAATATTTTAACACTAAGACTCATGATGTTCATTCGGTCGAGAGATTTGAGTAATATTTAATGCAGGATGCGCAGTGCTCTGTAAACAATGACAGGTCAGCACACTGGATCAATAATAATAGAGACTCCAAACATTTATCAGTCTATCCGTGTAGAAATAATGAAGGTCTGTTTTTTGAACGCTTCATCTCTATCTAATGGGCCCAGGAAAAAAAAACTGGTATTGCAGAAAATATTTAGAACAGAGTGAAAATAGCGTGTAAGCTAATGTCGCACGTATCTGTTAATTTAAAGAAAATGGTTCTCGGTGGTTGATGTTAACAGTACACGGTGAGAAAATCGTGAAATTAATCACCTGTTCGGGCGGCCATATTGGGGTATATCAGTCCGATGATGAGCTCTCTAATTGCACGCGTGTTTGAAGACCGATAACGCGGAACAGGCACCTGTTGCTCCCAAGGCGCGCGTGAGGAGGGCCTGATCAAACCTGTAAGAATGGAGCTTGGCGCTTTGTGTGAACGACGCCATGTGTGTGAGTGTGTGTGTGTGTAGTTTCCGATAACACCACGTAACACCCAAAACACCAACCAAAATAGAAGCATCGTGCCACTTAAGTGAGAAGGGAAGAACAATTTCCGGGCAGAGAATTATTTATGGCTTCTTCTTCGAAGACGAATCACCCACGCTCGGCGATCGACTTTGATGCCGGCCACACGGCATTCTCGTCCCCGGCCTATGTGCGTAAACCGTTGCTTTGAATTTGCCTCACCGTTACCAGGGCAACCGACAAAGTTAGTTCTTCCGACACCCACAGCACTATGTGCTGATCTTCATTAATAAGAGCCACGAGAAAGACGATGCATTGAGAGATCACTTAAAATCAATCCTAATTATAAATCACACACTTACAAAGGCATATCAGTCGGCGAGATAATATGATAGAGAGGCCTCGGAAAGAGGATTGTCCCTTTCTGTTATCTGTTAGTCAAGCAGGCTCATGACATGAACTGCGTTTTGTCTGTCAATTATATTCCTTGGCCACAAAATAGATATGCTGGGAGGTAATTGAAAGCGAGCCTGATTGATTTTACAGTGGCGTGTGAACAGTTAATCGGCGTAGAATTAAGTCGTGGCCGTCCCAAGTCATGGATTAAGGGGAGTGTTCCCTGTATCAGCTTAAAGCGTCTTTAGCTAAATCGAATCGATTTGTGTAATAAATGATGCTTGCAGAGCACGTGGGTGATAGGTTACGCTATGCGATAACACTGTCGACAGCCCCGAGCTTTCCCTCTGGTTTACCCTCCCCCCCCCTTCTCCTCCCCCCCCCCTTCCCACCCCGATCTGCACTGTACAACATTAAATGCTCCTCCCATCTATTCTTATTTTCATCTGCTGCACATCGATAACAGGGGTTGTTTTGTTTTTATAGACATGAGTAAGGAATACTTAAAGACCCACCAACAAAATACTTATTTATATCTTCCCATGTATCTCAGTCGGCTGTCGAGACATATAAATCGTGTTGTCACTACTACAGCTGAGAGTGTATTTATATGTACATGCCGTAGATTCGAAGAGAACGATGGGTTATATGACAAGAAATGAGATAAAATGTTTTTCGAATATGGTTCTAAAAATGATGTGACATAAATCGTGGTTTCATTACATTATCAATGAGGTTGGTCTGAAAATAATTCTCTAACAATAGAGAAACTCGTTTATTGAACGGAGAATATGGTTAAATTTCCTCTGGGAATGTATATTTCCCTGAGACAGACGTAATTCCTGTTTCGTCGTCACGTTTTTTTTCTGCAGTGCAGAAAATCAGCTGAAAAGCAGTTCTCGATTTCACTATTACTTATATCTTCATTTTTTTGCTGCTTATAGTGTTAGGCCTGGGGTTTCGGATTTTTGTTTTTTACAGTGACTTATTGAAAACAATAGAACAAAATAAAGTCAGTGTAGCGGAGAATACAGACCACGAAGCGCAAATTATACTGCGTGTATATTGACCTACTTTTCGTTTCTATACAAGTAGTATTTGTCGTTATGTTTAATAAGCAACCACATTTTCAAGCGTGATTTTGTTTTCATTTTTCATCACCTTTGTTTTCGAATCCAGTCAAACAAAACAAAGGGGATATCTTTATCTTTTTTCCCCATTGAGAAGACATAGGTTTCCATTCGAGCTTTGTTTTGTTTTTACAATTTTCCTATTGCTTCTAATTTCAGTCAATGAAACACAAGGTACGGTCCATGATGTCATCTTTCGACTTCGATACAAGCCACGGGAATGAGGCTCTCAACAATCTTCTGAGGGACATGCAACAAGTAGAAAGGGCCACAGATTACGCCATGCGCAAGCGCGGCAAAAGAGAATCGCCAGGTTCTCCGACGGACTCCAGCGGGAATTCAACGACAGACGAGTCCGCCGAACCCCGGAAATCAAAATCACCAAAGAAATCTTCACGGCGCAAAAAGGGCTCGAATGCCCGCGAGCGCAATCTCCGCCGCTTGGAAAGCAATGAACGAGAGCGGATGCGAATGCATTCTTTAAATGACGCTTTTGAAGGCCTTCGGCAAGTCATACCCCATGTCAAACTCGATCGGAAGCTATCAAAAATCGAGACACTGACCTTAGCCAAGAACTACATTAAAGCCCTCACGAACGTGATATGTGGACTAAGAGGGGAAGAACTCATTTATGGAGAGATGGAGGTGAACAATAATGGGGACGAGGAGAATATGAATGAAACTGTGGATTTAAAAGATAGGGATTTCAAAGATGAGGAGGAAGATGAAGACGATGATGAAGACGCCATGATTGAGGACTGCTTGTCGGTGTCAGCCGAAGAAACGATCAACCTTGAAGTGCTACAGGAGCTAGTAGACTAAAATAAAAAAGGGGATCTGAATTATTTTCATGAACTCTTTCAAACGTGGATTAATATCTTATTGTTTTGTTCAAAAACTGACATTCCACCACAAGTCAGTGTTTATGAAAAGTGTCAAGCAATCGTCTCAAGTCCTTGCACAAATGAAGAAACGGACGGCTATAGGGATTGCTCTGATCAATAGTAAGCCGTCGGGAACTCTGCCCACCGAGTACAGAGGAAGGGAATGGGGACGATATAAGATCCCCTCCTCGACATCAACAACATCATGACATTCCATCGTTATAACGTGAGTGCTAGTTATAGATCCATCACTAGACTTTAATGTTGCTTGTTGTTACACGTTATTTTTATACGGGAAATTTGCAATGCAAACTAAATGAGCGCCCCATCAATGGGTCATATTGTTACTCCGTTCGTCTATGCGATACCATACGAGAATAAGAGCTATATTTTTGTTATAAAAAACAAAAAAAAATGAAGACCTTAACAACAAGGCGTTATAAAAAGAGAAAAGTGACTGAGAGAGTAGCTAGCCTATTTTTCTGTGTAAACTGCTGGATTGTCACCGACAGCATTACTACCATAGTTGTACAGATAATGATATTCAAGCGAGCACGTTTTCCAAAGTAATAACCTGCCTACATCGCTGTAGGTCACGTAGGACCTACGGATACGCGTTGTTTTTACATATTAATTCAATCAAAGACTTTTGTACAAAGTGCTCTTAACGCTCGCATTATTTTTTTCTATTATATTTTTCATACACTGCGCATATCAAATTATGTGAGTTCTTCCAGATCATCCGAAACTGATATGGGAGCAAACTCAAAGATAGGATTTAAAGGGGTGAAAGGAGATCACAAATTAAAGGCACTGTGCCCAGCCCTGTGATGTTTGATAATGCGATAATGTCGTGCATTGTATTTCGGTAATGATCGCCCTAGTTCTACATGATGCCGCATGTTTAATGTATACCGAGCTCGTGCTTTCTGGTTATTAGAGTCCCTTTGAAAAACTCATGTCATGCCCAGATGAGCATTTTTTGTGCAACTCCGAATTAAAAGCCCATGATCGCTATCGTTATTACCGCCATTATTATCGCCTATCAAGACTGTTGCCATTGTCATCATCGTCACATTCATTACTCTCATTCTTCCAAACTACAAGAGAAAATTAATACCAGAATTTTTCACGCACGAATCATGTAAGAACAGTCGTTTGATGAATCAGGTGAGGACCAAGGGTAGTACCTTTTTTGGATAGTTTCCAATGTCGTAAGGCGATCAGACTTTTCAAGACCAGTGTCGTGACGGCAACTCATGGATACATGGTGCTAGCATGTGATATTAAAAAAAATGTCTGCCACACTGTGTTTTGGGGGTGAATACCGAAACAGTATAGAGAATTTGTTAGCATTATTTATTTTTCATTTATGTAATGGACTTCCATAAGATTCAAAAAGAGAAGATTGCATTTATATTGCGGACTGCGTTTATATTTTCAATTTTGAAATTGTTTGCGCGCTCGGCGCAAAACAGTCACAGCTCTTTGTATATATGGATTGTGTGTATATATATAGAAAGATATTATTTAGATCAAAATGGTGCACGCTTTTAGATAAGATAAGACTGGACCGTCATGTGTTGTGATTTCAGCTCTGCATGGTCAGGGGTTGTATGGTCCAACGAGACAGGACTCGTCACAAACACGTGGTTGTCTTACTTTGATATGCAGAGACAGACAGTCGGACGGACGGACAGACAGCGTGACAAACCAAGCTTTTTAAACAAACACGAAACAACGTTATCAACACAGAAGTGAAAAAAAAGCAAGCAATCGAAGTAAGACTACCCACGAGCCTTATTCCCCCGTGAATCGAACATCTGCATAATGCCGACGCCAAGCCGAGTACTTTAGCCGGCTATCTCGATCCACTTTGTCAAGTACATGCAACATATGTATGGCCCCAGTGACTAAAGCCCTGATCACATTAGCTCACATTACAGCACGACCAGTTATTCTTTTAAGCGTGCACATTACAACAATTGTCGCAGGATTTGCGATAAGTCCCTGGGTTATTAGATACCGCGCTATAGCCTTTGTAATTTAGACGTGCAAGCACTTTTTAAAATCCAAACTTAGTTAATCAGATGGCATTTTTATTTGAGTACTACTTTTTTTCCGGTGTAGTAATTAATTAGTTAAGTGAATTAAACGTATTTTTGGAGTATTCAGAGCTAGCAAAGGGGTGTTTACAAAATTCAGTTAGTATCTGTTTCCTTCAACATGTCAGCACTAGAAGATGGGTTGTACAGTATACTATTGGGAGCCAAAATGTTAATGCCATATTATGCAAAACGTTTCGAGACGATAGAATAAATATGTTATTTTGAAGATGGCGTGCTAGCAAAATCATTGCCTTCACTCTTTGATATTTTTAGAGTCTTCATTTTCACAACGGGAAATCGTACATACGAGTATATTTTAAAATGACAAGCCCATTTCAACTCATCATGTAAAAATACTGGATGACATTTCTATGTGGATAACGTTTCCTGTAGACCTTACATACAATGTTGGGACAGTGTGACAAGAAAATGAGAGAGAGAGAAAGAGAGAGAGAGAGAGAGAGAGAGAGAGAGAGCGTCCCAACTTGCGCTCATATTAACCATAGACATAGCAATGGAATCATAGCAGTTATTTGGTCATGATAGCGTTGGATTGCCTGCCAGCACGCCATCTTTGATGAACTATCGCCTCCACTTCCTCCAGACAAACTCAGACAAACTCTCCATCGCATGTGTGACGTACAAGTATTCGAATTCCCCCAGCACCCTGAGGATCGGGGGGCACTTGGTTAAGTTATACTGATTTAGACCAAGAAAAGAAAGAAAAAACGCCTTAAGTAAACTGAATCTCAGTGTTTAAAAACTTACTGGGTTTCAGTGCATTAGGCTGGCTTCAACTTTAAATGTGCGTATTTCATGTTTCTTTAAAAGGTTTGTTAGCCGTGGCATACTCATGCCATCGAGATAAAACTACTCCCAGTGATAAATGGAAGTCGTTATCTGAAACCAATGGTGGTTTGATTTTAAATTAGCCAAATCGTGGACATCAATTGAGTGCTCTATTACTTCTAGTATATTTTCTTATTATTAGTTCAATAAATCTTTTGTTTGTCTAGTGTAGCTATTTGCGTCATCAGAAATCCTGTATTGGCGAAAATAATTCTGGGCAATTATGTATGCCTACGTTTCTGTAGTCTAGTTTCAGTAATAACACACAAATATCATTTATTTAAGTATAATTTTTTGAAACTAACTGCCAAACGGAAGCAAGCATCTGAGCACATTTTAACTCAGATATCATTTGATCATTTTTCATCCAAATGTAAATGTAAAATACCGAATAAAAATATTTAAATAGAACATGAAACCTGTGTGAAATTGTTTTACTTTTTCATACGATGCAATACCGTCCCTATCCCGCCCCCCCCCCCGCTAACCCCGACACGCACAGACCCAAACACATGCACGCATAAACATGCACGCAAACAGGCATGCACATGCAGAAAATGCATTCGATAACGACATATGTGTTTTCTGTGTTTTCACATCGTGTCTGTCTCACCCGGAGTCTAAAAACATCTCCATACTAAGCAAAAAATATATTAATCTCTCGTTCTGCAGTTCACTGTCATTAAAAAGGAGACAATCTAGACTCTGTCAAATAATGGCCAAATATAGTCTTATAATGAAGGGGGAGGATTGTCTGTGAACCTCAATTTGGAAGGGTGTAACTTGATGAAAAGGTCTTGCATGCTGAACATTGAAACTTGCTTTGAAATGCATTCATGTATAATATTGTCGTCAAAAGGGCATCAATGTGGAAGATGTTATCGAGGTTGATAGGGATAGACATAGTTGATGGGATAAAGCATAGCATGTTGCGACCAACATAGGGTTGGTTATCCACGTAACTATAAAACACAGGACGGTACATAAGCGTTTCTACGCCTATTAAGAATATAAACCAGTTTAGGTCCTGTCGGCGTTACCGGACGACCGACTGAACAGGTGATTTCATGGTTCGAAACCAAAATGGCGCCGCCCCCTGGACCCAAAGGAAAACCCAATCTCCCAAGTCTGCCAGCCATTTTGATTTCGATTTGAATTTATTTTGAAAATATAGACATGTCCCTCGGCCTAAAATTCTCGGATGCCATATGCATCTTGCAACTGTTTACACAATATTTTGACAATTTAACGATTTTGTTTACCGATACGAGATCAACGTTTGACCCATCGGCTCACTATAATGGTAACTTCCGAAAATTTCAAGAGAATTACCAGCATCGCCGATCATTGTGACTTAACTACTAGCAAAAAGCTGTCGCCATTCACCATTTGTACTACCTCTGTACATTACATAAATAATTTTTTATGCCATATTACGCTTTTTATTAAAGCCCGTATTTATGTCAGCAGCATCAAAGTTAATAACTTACCCCTACGCTTGAATACAAACTGAATGATAAATACACTGAACGACTAAAAACATATCAAAAATATATACAAAAAAATAAACAGCTAAAGAATTGCTTAGTTTAATTTCAACTTGAATTAAAATTTCGGCTATTTTGTTCCATGCTAAGTATGATCACAAAGCAGTTTTAAAAAAACACATATCTTAAACAACAGTGCCATATTGAAGGTACCCTGAAAACAGTACCGTCCAGTTTTTCCATCTGAAAGCGAAAAACCTTAATGTTGGATTAGACATAGTTTCTTAGTCCAGTCTAGTTTTTTCCAACTGGAAAAGAGAAAACAAAATGTTGTTGCAGACACCGTTTTCTCCTTTTTTTGTATAATGTAGCACATTTTCTTTAATGCTTAAGGTGACTGACACACTTCGGAGTTTCTTACATCCTTGGTGCTTGAAGACTGGTTACATAAACTGCAACTCTTAAACTGATGGAATAAATGACCATTTACCAAACGTGTAAAGCTGTCACCAATCATGACAATCTGTCAAGATTTACGAACATTTGGCTGACCCAGTATGTGCCTTGTCGTTCCTTAAGCTCAGAATTCACGCACGATACTGTGCGTACCCGCAATGAAGTCAGCAGTTTATCTGAGAATCACCTTTTGATACTGTTCACTTTAATATCAATATCGTATGGCCATTATCGTCTACGAATTAATGTGAACTGTGGATAGAGTGCGTAAAGAAAGTTCAGTGAACTAATTTCATTTCTTCTATGTCTATATCCTAACGGTATTCACTTTAAGTGAGTTATTTTCGCAACATTTGCGTCAGTGCAACAAAATCCGCAGAAGTGCTATAACGGAAACATTGTCTGCCTGTCTGACCACAAGCCGGAATTTCCATAACCGAAGAATACGTCATGACTTGTAGAAAAAATCACCACTGTTTTTTATAGCCGTATTGCGTTTTGTTTTAACGAAGGCAAAAAGATGCATTATTTGGCAGGCTGACGTTGTTATTAAGTAAAAACAGTTCATATGGGGTCCAATATATGGTCTCACGTTTAACCCAGACAAATGCAGTCTAAAACAACTTAAGTATATCTCTGCTCATCTGCTTCTCCTACTGCGAGAACCTTGAGTTTCAGGGTCCGAACCACACGATTCTTAAACATTTGGTCCTTTTGAAGGTGACCATATTCACCTTTCTCTAGATTGTCGAGATTCGTTCACCAGAATTGAAAACTCACTGTAGTTAATCGTGACTGTGAAAAATGATTAAAAAATGAACTAAGTTGATAACAATGTAGACATCAATTACCATATTCTTAACGCATAGTCTTCATTTACATTAAGTTTTGCAATGGTAGATGTATTATACAATTGTCAGGCCACCACTTTGTGTTATGTTCTTTCATTATTCTAACAAGTTGAATACCTAATTTTTCAGATCTCTCAGCCGATTTCGTGAATTTGTCCTAAGGAGGGTGGGCTAACCCCACCTAGTGGTTCACTGCGTGTGGTTGTGCGTGTGCGTGCGTGTGCGTGCGTGTGCCACGACGGCAATTCAAAACCGCTTACGAATAGCATATAACACGGTTCAAATAATGGCTATTAGAAGTAAATCCACCCTTGGTTAATATTTTATGTTCATCCAGAGAGTATCATATGGTTGTTTAACATATTCCCAGCGGAGAAAGGGCTGCTTTGATCATGCAAGTTTTTGATACATTTATCATACTCTACGGGATTTGAAAGGCCGTGTGTGTGTGTGTGCGTGTGTGCGTGCACATTTGAGAGAGAGAGAGGGAGCGTGTGCATGCGGTCGCCTGCATGAAGAAGACTCTCAACACATCCTTCCTTTGAACCCTAGTTGATCCCACTGGCCGTTGATTTGTAACATTGGTATTCGAAGACAATCAAGATCTCAGTCAAAGGACTGAATACATTGCTTAATGAATTTCGACTGCTAGAACAGTCTTGCTAATCTAAGTAATCAGTGAAGTGACCACGATTCTCAAACCCTGAGTTTCACCAGCATTTTACTTTGAACATAAAATAAGGCGAAGTAAAATCGTGGACAGACTTGGAGTATATGTACAAACCCCATCCAAAAAATAAGATATCCGTAAAGAATTTACCCCCCCCCCCCCAAAAAAAAAAAAGGAATGATGAGAAAAACCAATGTCTTCTAGTTTATGAGTTCTGTTGTCCAGTACGAGAGAGAGACCCTTTGCTAACAGACAAACGGGCAAACAGACAAACGGACAAACAGTCAAAGGGGCAAACGAACAAACAGACAAACGGAACAAGAAACAACCTCCTTGGCGGAGATAATAAAGATCGTTGTTAAGTCGTTTTCCTGGATATCACATAGATTTTAAATACAAAGGAAGTAGATTACAGCAAATATACTGGGTCTATCTGAATGATACAGATTCTCTTATACTTAACCTGAGTTTCAGATATTTCTATTACCTCGAATCTACCGTCAGTGGAAGGGTTTTCCAGTAATTTCTGAAACTGAACGACAGAGGCTTGCTGATAACAGAGGTATGTTCTATCAAACTCTGCGTGCTTATTATCCACTCATGCACGGCAAGATTCTGGGATTATTAATTTCTTAAATAGAAACTGAACGTTAAAATAAACGAAAGATTCACTAAAACCCCTGTGTGGCAAATCCGAAAATTCTTTCAATCGAGGATTCTGAACATTTAAAACTGTGTATTATAGAACTGCATGTATACCATTCTTGGATATAATTAATTTGTCGTCATTGCAGAGATCGAAATCATGTCCAATGTGTGAATTAATACAAGTCTACATGATCACGACGTCGTGAGGCAATCTCTGCTGTCAAACTGTTTGTATTCATGATTGTGTGTTGTTTTAGACGTCATATCGCGGGTGGGACAACTAATTTGTTATTTGGATCACGACTTCGTTTAGATAAAATATTGATTGGTTTCGTTGCAGGCTAGCTGAGAATGTGAACAGAGGCGGAATATTGCGGCTACGCTGACGGCTTGACACATTTATTTTCGACCATCCGGTTTGGACCCTGATTTCCAGAGATCACTGTGAACTCTCCTCTTTAGTCAACTTTCCCGGATATTGGGAACAAGAGAGCATGTTTGTCACGGAGTGCAGTTTCCAGCCTTAGAACAGAAGGTCTGGGTCTTTCGTGTTCAAATTGGATGTCTGTTTGAGCAGGCTTCGATACAAGGAATACCGCTTACACACACATGCACTTGTTCTCACGCATGCACGCATAAACACTCTAGAAAACCTTCGCCAAGTCAGTTCAATTATCATTATTACTGATTAATTTATTAAAATTAATTAAAATCAATTAAAGTCCGTCAATGACTTTTCGAGTCAGATTGTTTTAACGCTTACAAACCAACAAATGCAAAAATATGACCTCCTTGTGGGAGGTAATAATATCTGGGTAAAATCAAATACAATAGCTGTTACCAATACTAACGATTGGATAGGATCGTATAGGTGAATATTACAACTATAATAGAACATGAAGATTTTTATTTAATTTATAACATGATATAATGCCGGCGTTGTATCATCTATTCTGTAAATTCAGTGTAATCAATTATATAAGTTCAACTTTGATTATCACTTGACATAGATGGAGGGTGCCACACTGGATATCCAATTGGTGAATAAAATATAAAAATCCTAAATGCTAGTTAAGTGCAAGTTGAAAAGAAATAATGATAGTTTAATTTGTTACTGAGAGTGTATTTACCTCCCAAAACAAAGCACGTTCATTCTATCTAGCTAGGGTCGTAAGCAATAGGAAGCGGGAATCGTGTGAACATGCTATTTCGTAGTTGAAGAATACGTAATGTAAATTCAATCAAAGTGTACTTCAGTCCCCGTAGTAGACTCCGTCATCTGTTATGCGGATTACACGTATTAACC